TTGTGTGTGTGTGTGTGTGTGTGTGTGTGTGTGTGTGTGTGTGTGTGCGTGTGCGGGCACGCGTCGCTAAGAGAAGACACTAGCCATTTAACTACAGAAGCCGGTTTACTGAGCTATTCAGGCACCTCTCTCTTTGCACTCCATTATAGCTATGCTTAGAGACTAGGGTTATCTACTCAATCCAATGGCTGTGTTTGCCACCAATATCTTCGAGCTTTGCCATTATTTTCAGTTTAACGATGACGTCTGAGGAGGTTTATCGTTTATTGAAATTAAGATTCCTTTTTTTTTTTCAAATAAAAAATACCGGTATTCTATTTCAGTTCCACCGATGACACGAGACGTCCTGGGAGAAAGGACAAAGGATTGACTCCCAGAACGTGCGAGTCTTGGTAAAAAAAAAAATGAAACTTCGAGCAGGTTGTTTTTTTAAACTCCCAAAAATGGGTAAATTTAAACGGGTCAGCAGTATTCTGTCAGCAAATGTGATCTACTTACTTTATAACACTTTGTCTATTCAGAGACTGCATTTATGTGTTCATGTATAGTGCTTTGTGAAATTTTTATTTTTGTTTTTATCTTGTGGTATATGTTTTGTGTAATTTGATGTTGTCTCCTTTGGCTTGAGAGATCGTCGTTTGTTGATGTCATTTTTCTTCTTAATTCTTGGTGTCTGCTTTATGTATCGACTTCATTATAAGAAAGCAGTTGGAAGTGAAGGGTTGCTACACCAGATTTACGCAAGAAATAGAGTGAAAATGAGCAACTGCAAAATTTGCTATATAAGGTGTTTCGGGTATGAGCTGTTGAATTATACACATGTTGGTGTTCATAAACTCAGTATAATATATTGCCTTGTGAGTAACATTTTTGCTAGAATGTTGACGATTGTTTGTGCCATGGTATTACGAACATGTAACATGTAGTCTTGCTTTTTCCATTTATTGGTGAAATGTTAGATACCTATATATCCAGATTTTAGCTGTAAAACGACCAAGCACTAAAGCGCCTCAAACTAGTTCTTTTTCCACAGATCATTTTATTCAAACAGAAATACTTTACAGAGTACAGGAAACAATCGAGAAATGTGACATAGTGAAAAATGTTCATCACCTTCGCTTGCTAAGATCCTTCAATGCGGTGATTTGACAAAAACATTTCTCAAAACACAATGTATTCAAATGTAGACATCTATGTTCTTTAGTATCTTTTCTTCACTAGAAGCTGATTCGGGGTGCAACTGCGGATCTATAGCATTCACCTAATTTTGTGTTCATCATAATCCTCAATGTGCAAATGGAATAAAGAAAATGGTTCCCCATACACATGTGTACTTTGGCATTGTCCTTTCTTATTTTAGTTCAAGTGAAATAGAGCACTTTAGAGTTAAATAAAGGGGATTCTCATGGTCTAGAGGTTAAGTTGTTTGCCGCTGATTCAATAATACATCTCAGGTTTGAATCCGGATAGCAACGCAAAATTTTCCTCTCTGAAATGTTCTCCTTTCACATCCGTCACTGCTCTTTAACAACGTTCTGACGTCTGCTTTCGTTTCCACTTTCTGCCCCCACCCCCTCACCTCCTCTGTCCCCCCTCTGGTCTCCTGACTCTTTCGGCAGCCTTTTTACCTCTACTCCTTGGCGCTTTCTTACTGCTGTCTTTCAGTTTCAGCCACACCCCTGTTGAGCGGGGATATGCGCTATACAAATGCTATTTATTATTATTATTATTATTATTATTATTATCTAACATCTAGCCTTCTCGGATAAAGGCGAAAAATCTCGAAGGTCCCGAGTGCAAGTTGCTCACATTAAAGATCCCTTGCTGGTCCAAAATCGATTTATAAGAGTAGGCTTTGGCCGCCACCTAGGAAAAAATCAAAATTTCCTTCCAACTGAAAATGTTTAATGAGTCTGCACGCTCATATGACCTAATTCAGTTGCGAGCGCTGTAAAACACTTACCAAAGAACACTATGCATAACATACAACCGAACCTGTCCAAGACGACCTCCCACTGTCAAGGAGAAAAGTGTTCCTCTTAGGCAGGTGGTCTTTTTTGGACAGTGTCAATAATATATGCAGCAAAAACACAAGGGACGAAGCGCACGGGGGAGGGGGGGGGTGTACATATGACTGTCTTGGACAGGTGGTAGTTCGAACAGGTTCAACTGTACTCCAGGACCCATTAGACAAATTTGGACCAATACGCCCTAGACTACATCCAGGAGGGGTAATTGTAAAAAATTTCATACATGTACTAACTTATTCCTTAGAGGTGCAAAGAGCCCAATTTTTTTATTTTTACTCATGATTCTTCACGATGAAGCATCACTGATCACTAAGTGTGGTGTTAGTCAAAAAGTTAAACTTTAAGGATACATCAAATAATACTCTCTCTCTCTCTCTCTCTCTCTCTCTCTCTCTCTCTCTCTCTCTCTCTCTCTCTCTCTCTCTCTCTCTCTCTCTCTCTCTGGGGAGAGGGTGTCTCTCTCTCTGAGTGTCTCTATCTATATCTCTCTCTCTCTCTCTCTCTCTCTCTCTCTATATATATATATATATATATATATATATATATATATATATATATATATATATATATATATATATATATATATATGAGCAGTCTTGAACCTGTTTGAACCTCATTGGCAAAGACAAATCTAATATTGGTCTTTATTTGATTTTTAAAAGTTGGACACTTCCAAGATAATCTTTAGAGAGTGAAGTGAAAAGATATCACGCTTTTTTTAAGAAAAAGAGCAAGCTTTAAAATAACAAACACACATGCCATGTAAGTCGCAATGTTTATAATCCCATTAACCTTTTATTCTTATCATGATACATATATCACACAACAAATGAAAAAATTGAGCATGAGGAGACTTTCCTTAAATGGTTGAGAATTATTGATGAATAAAAATTTTAATAATTGTACACATACTCGACTCAGGAGTCAATAGAGAAATATTGCAAATGTTTGTCTAAAAAATATAAGATTTTTAAAAACCTTAAAAGTGTTGTAATAAAGGTTCCTTAACGGTGACATGGAACAACAGAAATATGTGTGTATAAAAAATAAAAGTAAAGATTGTTTCATCCACACCCATCAGTTTCCTCATTCATCTCAGCAACAACAAAAAAGTAAACAGTAACATTCAGAAGAAACAACTCAATAAATATCATGAAGCTACCTGAAATGGATACGCTGACACAGCAAACAACTTTTGAGCAATAAAACTAGGTCTACATAAATCCACTTAAACCAAGAACAGCTATAAACCAAAAGAAAATAGAGAGTCACCATCTTTTTTTTTCATTATTTGAGCAATCCCTCTAAACTAAAAAACACATCACAAACAAAGAACATTTGGAGACCCAAAAGGTTTTGGTTTAAGAGGATTCCACTCTATGTGTTGTCATATTGTGAATTACAATCAAACTTTTAAAAATCTCCAAATCAGGCAATAAATATATAACATATCATACAGTCATGATATAGCACTACTTGGAGTGAAAAGAGTAACAAAAGTATTCTTATTCAGCAAATGCCACTAGTTGTATTCATAACTCAAGGAAATGAACATCAAAATGTCTAAAAATCACAAAAAAGCAACACTGCCCACTTAAAAATGAACATAACAAGTCACTATTGCGAACAATGTGAAACTTTGAAGTCTTCAAGAGGGTCTAATAGATGGAAAATCTGTCTGCAAAACTTACAGTTGTAAGACGACGACGTTATAATTTTTAAATTCTCCCGATGAGCAGAGAAAAGATTCACTGCAACCCCTCTCCACAGAGTAAACAGAACTATAGCTTGTTCACTTTCATCTGACCGCGGATAAAGCAAGAAAAAATGAAATCGCTCTGTTTAAGTTAGTTTAACCTTCTCAGATCTTTCCATACGGGTCTAAAAGTTGGATGACAAGTAGAATCTTAGTAAAAAAAGGCCATAAATAAAGGTTGCTGCAAACTAAAGTTTCGACACATTTACTTTGATGTAAACCTAAAGCGGGTCAAAAAAATATTATGGCATTTACAGCGTACACCTAAAACATTCAAAAGTTGACACATTTTCCTCAAAATCACACGCTTAAGAAACCCGTTTCCAGGGACGGGGTGAGTAACTTTTGAGACTCCCATGGAGCACGTGGAGACGTCTAGACAGCTGGAGGATGAAATCTACAAGCTTACTCTGAAATATGGGGGCAGGGTGGTGTTGCTGTCTTAAAATGAGCAATTTGTAGGCAAGGTTACTGTATATCATTTATTTAGCGATCTTGTGTATGCATCCAAAAAGCGGTTTTTAACACAAGGCCTAAAGAGAAAAACTTTTTTATAACAGAATCAAAATATTTTTTTTTTTAGGTCACAGACTTGCAGAAGTACCATGCAAGGTTTCGTGGGCATTTGTTAATTAATAAACGAGCTAGAATTTTATTTACAAAAGTGAACAAGCTATACATGTAATAATAATAAATAACGAATAATGTATGACACATATCCTCTTTCAACAGCAAGCTGTATGCCCTTTCCAATCTATATTATTACCCCAGCAGACTCAAGGACACTCAGAAACATTCTCGGCTTCCCGGGCAGCAAACAGTCTAATCATATTATTATTTATTTCACAGATTACTCTTTGTTGTTATCTTGTACTTGAACATGGCTCTAACGCGTAGCCTACAGTTGCTGTAGTGCTCTCTGAACATCCAAAAGCATCTGCACAGGTGCTTAAATCTACATAATTTTGAAGCACAGAAAAATCCTCCATAAAAGCTGGAACCAGACATTAACACACAAACATGTTTTGTAACTTCCTTTTTTAGTTTTAGTAGAGGTTTACGGCGCTCGCAACTGCATGAGGTCATATGAGCGCCAGAAGATTAGAGGTGTTACAAGAGAGTAACAAACATAAAAAAGAAGAAGGGGAGATAAGAAGGATAGATGTTTCATTTCATAGATAAGAAGAAGCAAACCACACCAGAGCACCCGCCAACCACCCACTTCCATTACACAATAAGGGCACAAATCTCATAAATGAAAGCACAAAAGTAAGGTCTTGTCGGTATACAATATCTGCACTAACTACATGCACAATACAGTAGTGGCCTCCTGTTCCATTCAAACAACAATAATAGCCATTAAGTCTTCGTGTGTGATTGGCAGGTGTTCTGGTGTGGTTTGCTTCTTCTGCTCTATTAAACATCTATCGTCCTCATATATATATCTTGCCTCCTTCTTTTCTTTGTATGTTACTCTCAATTAAAACCTCATATCTTCATATTTGTGTTGCAAGTGCTATAAAACTCTTACCAACATTAAAATCATTAAGTCTTAATGAATTCATGTAGGTCCCTCCTGTTCTGCCTCAGGTACTCCCTGGAATCCAGGTCCGCCTAGAAAGTACACCAGAGACAAATATCATAAGTATATCATGCACAAATGAAGTGTATAGATAAAACATAAAGCTAGCAGAGATTCAAACTAAAAATTATCGCATGCTACACAGAAAATCAAAAAGTGGGGAGGGGAGAGAGATTCTCACAGAAAGACAGCATAAGTTTACAGAGCATCTTTTTAATGAGGTCCAGAAAACATGATTTGGATGTCTCGATTATTTCTTTGCCTGTTTTTGTTGAAGTGTGTTGTCAACTAGTCACAGAACTTATATATTAATTTAAAGATAGAGCATTCCAGTCTAACTTACACACAGTGAACACCTACAGAGCGAACAGATTTTAAGGCCCCAATTTATTTCTAATATAATATGTATATTCTTTGTATTCAAAACACATACAAAGCAAAATATACACAACAAAAAGATTTCAGCAACCCACTAATTTTACTTTATGCATGCTTGACTACAGTTCCCCCAACAGGACGCCAGTCATAAAGGATACTGTCCAGAAATAACAAGGGTTCAAACCTTAAACTAATATGGCAACGTGTGTAAAATAACCCCCACACCATTTTCAAAAGACACACCTGGAGTTATACATTTTAACTGGCCTATTTCACAGAAAAACAGCTGGGCCTTTTATATTGGTTGGGGATAGGGAGAGGGAGTGGAAAGAGAGAGAGAGGGAGAGAAAGATAAAAAGAGAGAGAGAGAGAGAGAGAGAGAGAGAGAGAGAGAGAGAGAGAGGGAGAGGGAGAGAAAGAAAGAAGAGAAAAAAGAGAGAGAATTATAGGGAATAGGGGAAATAACTACCATGAATATTTCCAACCTAAGAATTCACGTAGTTATGTCCCCTTCGCTAGAACAGGTTTAGTGGGCGTCAACCAGTTGTCCCACTGTCCCATGGAAAGTAATACATGGACATGTGGATTTAATTGAATTCTCACATCGACAATGTTACCTTTTAACAGACCGGAGATGCTGTTAGTTATTCCTACTTTGACTTTTTTTTTCTCTGCTGAACTCTTCTTCCCCTTGATCTGAATAGTTTTACATGTGTTTATGACTCAAATACAAAGACCACTTCTTCTACAAGCAGACAGGGCTCTACGTCAGAGGGGTGACAATATAGGGAACATCACAATCATAGGTTTCTAATATATTAATAGAAAAACCAAAAAAATTTTATCCTTTAATTTTCATCCTAACATCATAAACCAATGCACAAGAGAAATTTACAAGACCTGCAAATTGAGCGACAAAATGATCATAAAACAGGATTAAAGCTTTCAATCAAGACTAAGAACTGCTTCACTCTATGAAAAAATTAACGCAAAAAAGTTATTCTTGAATTTACACGACACACACGCACAGAAATTTGTTGCACCTGAAAATCAAGGAGCAGTGCTTTTAGACTAGACTGAAAATTATTGAGAACTATGAGTCTCAAGGGTATCTCAGGTACATGATGAGACACACTCTTCATATTATCATGCACATCCTATAGACTGATGAGACCATTTGAGAAAGAAAAATAAAGACTGAAAAACGAGACACTCGCAATAAGGTTTACCAGAACATCTAATCAATAATGCACTGATAAGTCTGCGTGGTGTGTGAAAGCATATTACGTCTATAATACATGCATATTTATATATGTATGCATTCATATGTCTTCAGTGTATAAGTGTTTTTCCTACCAATGAAAAAAAAACCCACCTCATCAAGAGCCCGAAACAGAACAACAAGGGAAAACAATAGGGTACAGAATTGTCAAAAAGCCTTGAGAAAGAGAAAGTCTCAATTCTACGAGTAAACCGTCACAGAAGGTAAGAGAACCCACAGCACTCTTTGACAACTTTCCTTTATATATATTCTGTAGAGGTGTCAGCTTTACAAACATAGAGTGATTGATCCAAGAGAGGAGCTGTAAGAAAAAACTAAAAAAACAGTTTCATGAAGTGGGAATTATTTCCTACTTTACCGTTCTTGCTGCCTCTCCCCAACGAGGGCCAAAAAAAAAACATTTGTCAAGTCTATGGTTGCATCTACTTAAACTGAACATAGTTAATCCAAAAACAGACATTGACTGAAAGAAAATAGAATCCCTGATTTTTTTTCTCAGCTATTTGAGCCATCCCTCTATACTGAAAAAATGGCTACACCGAAAAAAATCTGGGGGTCCAGCAGATTTTGCTTTAAGTGGACTCCACTGTGCTTAGCTGCTCTGCCCCAGTGTCATGATGATTAGAGCCATATCCATTTCAACAGAAGAAATACTTTTGACCATGGACAAAACTCACCCTTCTGACAGGCTCAGGGATACGGTACTTGCTGCACTCTAGAGCCAACCACACTGCTGAGTCTATTGATATCTTGTGGCCAATGGAGACGTAGACCGGGTTTGGTGCTTGGTCATGGACGCGGACACACTGAAATTTCAAAACAACTTAGAGGTTTGACCAGTGCTTGCCAACCTGGGCGATACCAGTCACAAGTGGCAATTCGGAAATTTTTAAATTTTAGTTGGCATTGGGAATCACCCAATTATTTCATGCCATGTTAGGAAATCAATGAAGGTGGGTGGTAAGAAATCTTAGCCTCTTTTAAGGTGGCAAAAGTGGGTGCTGGCTATAAAAAAGTTGATATGCACTGGGTTAGACTTAAGAGGTCAGTGATAGCTACAGAGTGGTTGGTCACAGCTGTGAGAGTATCTGCTCCACTTCTTTTCATGCGTCCATGTCCTTCTCTCCAACTTGGCCAAGTGAACAGACTCTTCATAGACTAAAACACAACAGAAATTAGGCCAAAAATTGATATGGCACATCTGTCATTGGTAGACAGGTCACTTCTTTTCTTTTTAACTTTTAAACGGTAATAGCAAGAGGGGCTAGTATAAACAGTATGAATCAGGTACGCTCCTTGATCCACAGCCTCAGATAAAAAAATAGGTAAGTAGTGCTTTTCATTCCTTTTTTCACACAATAGAATCCCGTAACGAAAATGCCTTCATCGATTTTCATGGGGTAAATTTTATAGGACGCAATACCAACCCTGATGTTACAAGGAAACTTATATAAAAATAGTCAATTTCATGTAGCCTGCAAAAACTACCAGAACTTAATGGGTTTCTACTTGAAAGTTATGGTATATACCATTAGAACAGTAATAAAAAATAAGTAACATGAAAACCACAATACAGTGGACTAAGATACTAAATATTTCAGAAACAATGTATAAGAAGACTAAAAAAAGCTGTCACCTTTCCAAGGACTTCCCCTGAATCGGACGTCAAATCAAAATCATCGCCAGCACCTGCCAAAGTTTTTTTCTGTCAGGATAAGAAATAAAGATGATTAGAGAAGAGTTGTCCAAGAAAAGCGGACCACAGAAAAAAAACTGATCTGTCAGAGAACAGATCAACAAACCAAAATTCATGATTCAACAAACGAGTGGCCAGTGACAGGTCATCACACACTTGAGCCTTTGGGGGATCTCAACACCACCTTCTTTGAACAAGCCCTATCTATCTGGAACTCTCTTCTACAATATTTGAAGGATAAAAAGCAACATTTGAGGGATGCAATGTCAGAGACAAAATTTACAATACTTCTTGAAAAGCCATCTTGACAGATAGTCCCTCTTATTCGTAGTGCTCTAAAGTTCTTAAAATAATGTGCATATTACTGTCATCCATTGTGCAGTGATTGTCAGAATGTCTGCTTGTGTGTTAGTGTCAATCTAAAGAATGTATGTATGCATGTTCACGCATAGGTATAAGGTATTGTCAAAGTCCACAGCTGCAGAATACGGGAGTGGGCACCATAGAAAATACCTGCATTATTATTATTATTACACTTAGACACCAGAAGTAGCAGGCCAATAAAAAAAAAAATACACCAGTACTTGATTGCGGCCTGTTTCTCTACTTCCTCAAATAATTTTCTATGACACAATCTGAAAAGAAACATTGATACTTCCTCACCTTTTTCTTATGAGCCTCATCGTCAACGATACCTTGGGCAGATATCAGAGTTTTTGCTACCCCCATTGTCGGCACATCCAGGACCACACCCAACTGGCAAGCCAATCCAAATCCTGCAAAACACGTTCACATGAATTTGACCCAATAAAACAAAACAAAATTTGGCTGGAAAAACATCCAAAAACATTTTTACAATTTTAGCCTGTAACAGCTTTGCAGGTCAATGTGAAAATAAGCTAAACTCATATCAAAATGTCATAAATTACTTCTAAAACAGTCTTCTCAAGAAGAACCTCTCAAAGCAAACATTTTGACTATTAAATCCTGACCTGAAAGATCCTGTCTACACTTCTTCAATGTTCTGGCAGTCCTTCCCTATGCACTTTTTCTCACTTGCTTCAAGTCCACACTCATGATAATTATTGCTACATTTCTACGGGAACAAATTCAGACAAAAATGATACAGAAAGAATTAGAAGGAGAAAACCACACCGCAACATCTAGCCACTGAGAAGCAAGAAACAAAGTCATACCTCTGGGATGTAACATGCCGTTTCCATCTACCATGATGAGCTGGTATCGGAAGAGATTACAAAAATGTGCATGAATTTCAAAACTGTTAATAAGCTCATGATATGGAATGAAACAAACAAACAAACATTTGACGATAGTGCTCTTTTTTCCATGATTCACTGTACTAACAACATGAATACCAGAGTCGATACATGTACAACCGGTTTATATTAGTTGAACAGCAAACGAGAGCAATCTTCAGTAAAAATGAGACAAGCAACCACCTCAATAGAGACAAGCAAAATATTTTCACAATTCAATATTTCAAAGTTATTTACACATTTAAATCTTTAAAAAAAACTAGTTGATGAAGAAAGTTGTAACAATTGAGGGACTTTAACAAACTTTTTTAAAATATCTAATAAATGTATGACCAAGACCAAATACTTTCAAAACACATAAACTAACCTGCATAAAATGTCAGCCAAATTGTAACAGATCATAGGCATACCTTACATTTCTACTCATAACATGACAAGTTAGGACCCCTTTGCACTGTCATAACTTGTACAGTCACATAGCACAGACTTTGACTTTTGTTTTCTTAAATAACATCAAAACTGAATTGGTTACAAGCTCAGAAGCAGACCTGCCGACAACTCTATGACCTTATACAGGAGATTTTGACAGAGTTGTCCCCAAAAATAGGAGTTGGGGGTGGGGGGGGGGGGGGGGGAATTGGAGTCTCCAGAACCCAGGTAAATTAAGATTACATGAACTGACCGCGGCAAATAAAAGAGTATTGCAAAAACATGAAAAAGTACTGTCCACGAAAGCAAACTCAAATAAAAAAATGTTTACTTTCAAGTCATCTACAATAAGTAATACAAATGTTGTATGTAAACCCAAATAAAACTGTATTTTCAAATCATTTATGATAACTTGCATACGACCAGATAAAAATGAAATTCAAGACAGAAAAATTGAATTCTAAGCACAACTTTCAGGGTTTTTCGATGAAAGGAAAAAAAAAATTGGAGAGTGATTTCATCAGAGTACCTGGCAGGTCTACAGATGCTGTATTTGTACTTACATCTGGCAGATACTGAGGTGCTGACTTTTCCATTTCGTGATACAGATCAACAAGAGCTGGAACTTCTCGGAAAGCCAAAAAACCTGGTATATATGGCTGAGTAAGCTGAATCATCTCCATCCTCTGGTAAACCATCTGCACATAGAAAAATGAAAAATATTCTGAAGTTAACAACATTTTAAAAAACTCAACTTTAATCTTAAATCAATTAATATTTTATAACGATTTTAATACACACAATTCCTCCACAGCCTACAGCATGAACAAAAGAACAAAGGTACATGTGATGTAGAAACATTGTATTATTCTCATTCATTCTTTTTCTATCCAGAAAAGCACATAGGCCTCTCACCTGGAGGTCTGGCATCTGTATCACACTCAAGCAGGCACAGGCATCAACGTTGTTTCCTTTTATGAAGGAAATGTCAACACCACCGATATAAAAACGACCACCACCTTCTTTTCTTCTGCATCCACTGACAAGGGCAGAGATAACAGGTGTGTCAGTCTTGCAAAGCTGCCTTTTGTAATCAATTTGTTCTCTGTAAAAAAAAAAAAAACAGCATTCAAGAAATATGAACGATAATGATTTTATATCTATCCCCCCAAAGGCTAAATCTGGCTTAGTAAGCCTGCATACTTCTTGTCTTTCCTTTACAGAAAGTAAGAACTAAATTCAAAATATCCTTTATTCTCAAACATAACAGACCTGCGATTGGGGAAAACTCATAATCTGTGGGAAATTAGCAAGACCTAATTTTTTTATTTTTTTTTAAACAAGTTCATGAGACGATCAATATACAGAATATCAACCAAAAAAAACTCCGTGTCTGAACATGAACATAATCATAATATTATTATAATGTGTATAAAACATTTGTATGAAAGTTGCTGAAATCTTATACAGGGAGATAACTGCGTGATAACGAAAAACAAAAATTGTTTCGTAGGTGATGTCCCTTGGCTTACAGTTTGTAAAAGGGAGGGGGGGTTGGTGGTTAATAACGATTAAAATTGTGTTTTGTGTTTTGAATGTGAATCCATATTGGGGAGATTTTCAATTTAAAAAATACTGAACCATACCTAAAAAGTACCAGTGATCCTTTTTTTGAGCAATCCTTCTATAACAAGATAGTCAACCTGAGCAAATTTGAAGATAATCCATCGGTTGACTAAGGAACAACCATGTACATGTAGCTGACTAGAAAATATTTTAGAGTCTGAAAATCTTAGCATGGGCCACTGCACTGCAGTCTTGTCACTGGGCCAAAAACACTAGCCTATTTTAATTAAAAAACAAAAATCCGAAAGAAGCAAAATATAAACTAAGATATTACACACGTCATAGAATGATAGAGTTTCATCAAATCTCTATAATATTTGATATGGTTTGATCCATTTGAGGGCAGCCAGATTTTCATTCATGCAGGAGCAAAAGCTATGATTTTGGGAAAAGTTGATCAAATCCTCAAAATTAAAAAATATAATATTTTATAATAGTAATGATACTAATGATACTAAAAATGATAATATTATTACAATAAAATTATATATGAAGGGCACAAGTGAAAAACTAGCGATGTCAGGTTTTTGCAGTTTCCAGATAATTGAAAAACAAACTTTAAAGACTTACAACTCCTTTTCTGTTACAATGATTTCTCCACTGTATACATTGACTTCAACTTCAAGTAAGACCATTTATGTTAACAATGGGAAATTTTCATAGTCCTTTGTGACATGGGTGTTTCAGAGAGAGCAAAATAGAAAAATTAGGTAGCAAACTGACAGCGCTGGATTTTCCCATTTAAGTTGTGGGCAAGGTCTCCATCCACTAGTAAGCCTATGAATTGTGAGTTTCTTTACTCATTTGCGAATACAAACAAAACTAAAAGATTCAAACAAGAAAATTGCACACCATTTTATAATTATATTTACTACTTTCATTTTTATTCTATTTAATATTCATTTTTGGATGATGACTCTGAGTCATCAGACTCTTGTGTGGCACTTGGTCCCCCAGTAAGAGGTAATTCGGAGAAAAGCTGTCGGGCCAGAACACCTTCATGTCTGTAGACCTATATTTGGCAGCTTTGATGGTCAGCGGGCTCTTATAGAGGGGTATCAGGAACTGGAGTCTTGCAGCCCGCTTCTTTTCCACCGGCTTCATAATGATTGCGGTGTGAAACGGACAGTTCCAGCTCTCACTATACAGCATTGGCTGTGGATGGGCCTATGAGATGCAGAGGTCAAGTGGGTATATGGCAGGAGACCCTGTAGAAGGGTTTAAGATTTTTTAATACATTTTTTAACACATTCTGGAATACGGCTTGTGTTATCCCCACTATCTGGAGCGGCGAGGGTTTCCAAAGGGCTGTCTCGAGTTGCTCCACCCAACTGGCTGGCATATCTATGCCATGTCTCTGTCGCATTCCAAGCAGCTGTGGCCTCTCACTGGAAATGAGTTGTTGGGCAACAACATGACAGAGAAACCAGATCACCGTCTAGTTCTTGTTCTGGTAGGTGCACGAGTTACATTGCTGGCAGAATGTGAATAAGGGAACTGTTGCTTTTCTTTCCTCATCCTTACTATCGTCATTTTCCCCTACTTCTTTTGCATGTTTGGCACACTCTTGTGCTGTTGAGGCTAGAGAGGTGAGCAGAGTAAGCCTGATTCCCAGTTTGGACTTCTCTGTTGACATCCACCCCTTGGCGCTCATATGACCTTACGCAGTTGCAAGAGAGGTAAAACCTTACTAAAGTTTTTAAAGAATTAAAAGTAATGTACCAGCATGCTAGCCACATCATCCCCACCCTTTTTGCCGATTGTCTCGTAACAGTACAGGTGAACTGTTTCATCACTAAGAAAGTACATTTAAAGGAGAAGAAAGATAGCTGCTAACGATTGTACAAATTGTTTGCCGACATTTTTGGGCAGCCCAAGTTCTTTGAAAAATCAAAGGTTAGGGTAGCATGGGTGCCAATGAATGATTTACCAGTTTAGCAACGCATATAAGAACAGTGCAGGGATTCAAGCCTCAGCTCAGTCCGATGTTGTGTCTTTGGAAAAGGCATCATCATCATCATCATTGCCTTTCTCACCCTGCATCAGGGTATAGGCCACGGACAAACACCCTCCACTTTTCTCTATCCTGGGCTAGCCTCTTGATGTTATTCCATGTCTTCAAACTTTTCTGTACATCCATTTCTGTGATTCTTCTCTAAGTTCCACAAGGTTTTCCCCTTGATCTCTTGCCCTGTGGGTTCCAATCCAAAACTTTCTTTGTTATGCAGCTGCCTGACTTCCTGAGAGTATGTCCAATCCATCGCCACCGCCTTCTTCCTATCTCATCTCTGACTGGGATCTGTCTTGTTTTCCTTAACACTTCCACATTGGTGACCCTATCTGTCCATCTGATCCTCAATGACTTTCTTAGACACCTGTTCAAGAAAACCTGGATCCTCTTTTACAAGTCTGTAAAGCGTTCCATGCCTCACATCCATACAACAGGACCGACTTCACGTTTGAATTGAAAATCCTCAGCTTTGTTCGAAGTGAGATCTCTCTGGTCTTCCAAATCCTATCCAAAGATATGAAAGCAGCCTGTGCTTTTTCCAATGCGGGACTTTATTTCAGCACCTGTTCCTCCCTCTCTGTCAATTATGCTCCCCAAGATAACAGAAGGATTCAACGTTTTCTAGGGCCTTTCCTTCTATTGTGACCTGCTGCTTTCGTTGTGCATCTGTCCTTAGGACCTTTGACTTTCCGGGGTGGATCCTCAATCCAACAGACTCCGAGGCTGTTTAATACTGAAGTCTTTGCTTGCATCTGTTCCTGGGTGTGCGACAGAAGCACCATGTCGTCTGCAAAATCCAGATTGTCCAACTGTGTCCATGGTGTCCACTGTATACCAGGCACTTTACATGAATTTCATATTTGGCTCAGTCCTTTCGGGGATGGACTTAAACTCAGAGGTCCCGCCTTTTAAATAACCTAATACTGTTGACAGGGTGTTAAATCTATACCATTTCACCATTTGTCACTGAAATATTATTAATTGGTAACAAAGAGAGGCAACAAAGAAAAGTATGCTTTTAACATCGCTGGTTTTTCCGTTGTTTACGTCCTGACATCGCTGGTTCTTCTATTGTGGGCTATATTTTCTAACCCTCACAGAGGCTGGCACCACTGGTTTTTTCGTACGTCTTAGACGGACTAAAGCAGACCAAGCCAGGCATCATGCCAGGACAATAACCCAGAAAATGAAAAAAACTGACATCGCTGGTTTTTCCCTTGTGCCCTATATATATATATATATATATATATATATATATATATATATATATATATTATATATATATATATGCCTTTATAAAATACCTTTAGGTTTTTAAAACAAAATAATATGAAAAGCAGATAATAGGGTTACAAGGTATCTCTCTTGTACACATGATCTTTATCAAATTCTTCTTCTTCTTTCTTTTTATCTCTCTCTACCCTCCCCTTCTCTTTCTCTCCCTCTCTCTCCCTCTCTCTCTCTCTCTCTCTCTCTCTCTCTCTCTCTCTCTCTCTCTCTCTCCCATTATCTCTCTCTCATCATTCTCTCTCTAGACACTCTGTCTCTGGCTCTCTCTCCTCCCTTTCTTTGTGTGGTTTGTGGATCTCTGTGATCTCTCTTTCTTGATCTCTCTCTGTGTGCCTGTCTTCCTGTCTATGTGACTCTCTCTCTCTCTCTCTCTCTCTCTCTCTCTCTCTCTCTCTCTCTCTCTCTCTCTCTCTCTCTCTCACACACACACACACACACACACACACACACACACACTCTACCCCCCCTCCCAATCAGACATTGCCTCACATATTAACTCCCTCTTCCTCTTTGCTAATCTTCTATTGTAACTCTCAGTTTAATCATAATGAGTCTCAAGAGTAGTATCAAGAGTCTTCAATATTTCAATGCATACGATTAGTACTTACTTTTCCCACTTTTCTCTAATATCACTAGCAACGAGGTTTCCTGCTAAACTCCTTGGGGATTTCTCCTTTTTTACAATAGTCCATCCAGGGTCAGTATTACCTTGATTACCACCACTAGTATTATGACCCTTTGGTTGACTGCTTTTCGAAGAAGTCTGTCTGTCTGCCTCATCATCACTGGAAGATGTTGAAATATTCATAGAACGATGTGAGTAAAAGTCTGTGGCGGCAGAGTTTCCATGACCAGAGACAGGCTGGCTACTCCCACTATTATGGCATAATTCACAATCACAAGGTTCACGTGCAGTCTTGCGCTTTCGTTTCATTTCATTGCAGGGATTGCAATATTCTGATTCAACATTGGGCGGGAGAAGTATCCCACAGTCATCACAGAAATCCATCACTTTTGTCTCTTTAAAGAACTGAAATCAGTTGAAACTAGATCTAAGTAGTTCTGCAGTTTCACCAATTTCATTTAACAATTCAAGCAAAAGCCTTCTAGTTCCTTCAGGGTAAGATGTATTGTTAATGTATTGAGGCCGAGCTAACAAAATTACAAACAACAACTTGAAAGTCACTTATTTGACTTTGATGGCATGGACTTTTTGTTGATGTTGAGCAAAGGCAAAGGAAAATGACAAACTGATCATGCTAATAGCAACTGTTGGAATTCAGTGGGAAGAAGAGCGGTAGAGCTTGCTATATATGGTTAACTACGTTTCTTGGATTGCACCACGCTGCATAAGCTAAGCGAACTTTCAGGTAGAATCTAGTTTCTAAAGAAATTAGACGACGTGAATTCGTTTCATTGGTACTGCATCATTCTAAATCGAGAACCTTTCGTTACTTCCGTAAACAACAACTCAAGAAGGGACGCTACTCTATGGCAATATGTTGCATTTTGCTTGGTTTCATTTTTTATCTTTTTTTTTAACGAAATTTATTTCAAATTAATAGATCTAGGATCTAGATCTAGATCTAGTAGCGTAAACATTTTTACTAAATTAATTAGTGTTTTGCCATAAGTTTATTACTTATTAAGTCCAAAGTTGTTGGTGGCTGTCATGTTGCATTAGTTCTTATCAAAACAAACTGACAATACTGACATGCATGCAGTAGAGTTAATCTTTTACAAGTGCAAGCACTGTTGAGCACATGTTTCGCACAGTACAATACCCTCTCTGGTACAATATTATATTGTAGATCTGATACTGATCTTCAGATTTTTTGTTCTAAATATTAAGGTTGGCAGACGTCTGTGATGCAATTGTTGTTAGGTAAATCTACTTCGCTGTCACTCGCAGGAGAAGCGAGTTCGATTCCTGAGTCATGAAAAAAAAAATGATTATCTCGGGCTTTGTGGGGTGTTGTATCCCTTTCAGTCAGCCCGGTTTGGCACAAGCAGGCGGTCAGCCTCATAAATTACCTAAATTGTGCCGATGGAAGTGTAAAAACATCTAGATTTTACATTATAAGGAAGATTTTCTATTTGAGTTTTTCATTCAGAATTGTTTTTTGGGGGGAGGGGGTGCTAGGGAACGTTCAAATCTTTAGTGCGGTCAAAAATTTATCCTCGATTATATAGATCTTTAACAGCTTAGGCGGGTGTATCTATGTCGCCCATACTCTACTTTGCACAGCAGCAGTTTGAATAAATTTGTCTTCACTTTATTCTATTTTTTCCACCTAACTGAGGCTAGATTTAAACAACTTTTGTTCATATATCTATACTATAATTATAGCACTTCCCACTTTTTACACACATTTTTTCATACATGGATCTACGTCACGGCTCACCATGGACAATTTTTAGAGGCAAAACTTGTTACAGGCAGCTTATTTTAGAGTGCATCAAAAGTTCTCAAAACATATGCGTTCTTAGCATAATATGTCACGATTAGGGAAAGAAAATGACGAACTCGCTTTTAAAGAGTCTAATATAAACTTTCTAAAATCTGTAGAAACACCCAATTGGATTTTTTTTAAATTAGTAGGGCCTTCATGTATTCATTAAAGAATTTGCAAGCATACAGCTAACCTTACAAAAATGCTAATCTTTTCAAACCTCTTAATGAGATGCAAGTCATTTGTGCAAAAGCTGTAGAATCTATGTTTGGTAGTTAAGGAAATAGTTTGCAATAAATTGGGCCAAATTTTTTTTTACCGCAATTCTCCATTCTCGATCAAAATCAATGAGCAACAAGTACAAACTGAAAGAAGTCCTAAACAGAAGCGAAAAAACAGGAGAGGGAGGGGTAGGGGGCATGTCTTAGCTTTTGGCAGTGGAAGAGCAGAGGAGGGCGAGCGAAAAGCAGAATGACACAAATTCTCAAACAAACAAGCAAACAGAAGAGAACGTGAGAACACGTTTACGACAGTTTACGTCTTTCTGTTGTTGTTCTTAATGAGATAAAATTTGGTTACGTTACGGGCACTCATTATTTAAGTCAGGGTAAAAGTAAACTTGAGCCCTTCAGTCCCGAACTTAGTTTGTATCCCCTGGTTAAAATTGTTGCCTTGACTTGACGTTATGCGCGAAATACATTATCTTCCATCTGTCCTTTCCCTCTTTCTTTTCTCTCTACGCTCCTCTCTCTCTCTCTCTCTCTCTCTCTCTCTCTCTCTCTCTCTCTCTCTCTCTCTCACTCTCTCAAACTCACCCATACAGTGGCTTGAGCCCCCCTCCCCCTCCCAACTCTATCCCAAAGTAAATGAAAGTTGAAACCGTTATGACTGCACGCAGTGAACACAGGGTGATCAACTTGGCGGTTTGCTCGTTCATCCAATCACTGTTGTCACCGCGTACAGCTATAGGTACCCAGCAGCCACTCAAATGTCTTTAGGGTTCAGCAAAGGATGATCCCTTTCCCACGGCCCGCCCTGAAACTCTTCTTGTAAAAAAAAAAGGTAAAAGACTTGATGAAAAAAGAATACTGTACTGAGAGCTCACGCTCTCCTACCCCTAGCCTAGTGTAGAATTCTGTGCCCCTAGCCCTGACAATGAGGTCGTGACAGTTTACGACAAACTTTCTACCACTGACACAGATACCCATGCGCTCATTGGTTCTTTGTTGGGTGGTTCCAACTTTCTCGACCACACAGCCTAATCCAGCTCACAGTAGTAATGTTTGAAGTGCTGTGTGTGGATGTTTGTGTTTGTGCCACTGAGATTTAACAGTTATAAATCAGGTCGAACTACGTTTAAGGCAACTTTTTCATCACATGAAAATCGATTAGAGGAAATTTGGAGGTGAATCGGCTTCGTACTCACCATCAACAAGAATTTAACTAAGAACAAAGAGATGGAAAACAAAAGCAACTCTTCTCATTTGAATGGTTTTCAAAATGCCGTGGCTCATCGTAAGTATAGAAAAATCATCACTGTTTAGTTCTTATTGCTTGCTATTTGGTGGTAAAGAACTGGAAGCAACCGAAGCCCCACCCAAATTTTGGTCCACCCACCGCCACTGAACCAAGGATTACTGAACACACCCAAGCGTGCAAGCAGGCATGGATCTCGACGTGATAATAATTAGACTATTCATTATCGGCAGACACTATGTAATGTAAAGATAATAGTCAGCAGCTCACTTGTTCGAACGTATTATATTTCATTGATCTCACTTTGCACGGTGCGTATATTTTATCACGATTCAGCGCGTCCATTTCCTTCGTGGATTTTTGTTTTCAAATTTAGGGTTTTTAAACACAATTTAGAGCTTTCCTGTCAGGGTCGACCGAGCTGAGAGGTATGCCTACCATAGGGCATACATGCATAGCGTCCCAGCGTAAAAACGCCGAGACACTATTATACTCGATAAGAATTATTATCCCCGAACGGAAATCTGTTAAATCAAATACGTGTAAGTTCATTTGTTATATAAACTGTGGTGCAGTTTTCAACAGTGCGTTGTTTGCCGGTGCTGGTGTGACATCCTACAGAATACCCCATCAGAGAATCCCCCCCCCCCCCCCCTCCCCAGATTAAAAAACAACAATCAGCATGACCCTCCCAGACACTGGTTTATGTCATGACTCAGTTAATACCATAAACAAAAATAAATAAAACTCGATGCTGGCCTGTACTATCTATATATCTATAGCTTTTTATGTATTTTTTAGCATCCGAATGTTCCGTACTGTTGACTAACGGAAAAAAGGACGCAATTTTATTTATTTTTTTAATAAAAAGATCACATTGAAATATTTTATCTGTAGATTTATATTTGTGGCGTGGTATAAAGGTTTGCGGTTAAACCATCCTGTCGTCTTTGAAAAGATTACATTATGTTGAAACATTGTATCCTCAGAACACTTTGCAGTGATTTTCTAAATAAGTGTAAGCACTACAATTCAAATTATGACACAACAACATACATGTACCTCAAAACACGATTAGACATCATCCCCACCCATCCCCCTTGCCCTACTGCCCTCCCTCCCTCCCTTCCTCTCCCTACGCCCACCCTCGATCTCTCTC